CGCCGCGCCCCAACTCCGCCGCCGCGGGCCCCTCACCAGGAGTTGCCGGCGCTGTCGTAATGGCACATAGGGCACGTAGTCCTCGTCGTCCTCATCCTCCGCTTCGGAGCGGCTCTCTCCCGCGGGGGGCTCGTCGGTGCGAGCCCGCTGCAAAGACACACGAGTCAGGCCCGACGCGCCCTCTCCTTCGCTCCCGCTCCCACCCTCGCGCTGGACCCCAGCCTCGCTCCCACCTTCCGCTCGGGCTCCGACTCCTCCATCCTTTTTCGCGCGCATGCGCGCCACGTCCAAACCCCGCCTCATCCTCGAGTGGGAGCCAATCAGGTGCGAAGAAGCGAACGTCGGCGCCTAGCAACGGCCTCGGCGCTCCGGATGGCGCAGAGGGACAAACTTCTCCGGAGCGGCCGTAGTGCGCACAGCGCCGACGACCGCCGCGGATGGTTACGCGGGTGTTGCCGGGGACGAGAGTTAAACCACCGGGCAAGGCATTGTGGGACTCTGGAGGACTTGGAGCATGCGCTAAAGGCTCAACCCAAACGCAGCCGAAGAGGAAGACACCCTGAGCGCAGACTGCGGATCCGGAACGGGGGCGGCTTGCCAGGGGCCCCTCCCCCGCAGCATGACGTCGGCGGCGCGTCCCGCGGGCGGACAGTGCGCCCCCTAGAGGTCGGGAGCGCTGAGACGGGACAGACGGGTTCCGCTGGGGGGGCGGTCTCCATCCCGACACCGGGCCACGGGGGCGGGGCGGGGCGGGGCTTGCGACACTGACCCCACACGCACCGCCGCCCCGACGGTGGCCTCGCCTGCGAGACCCCTGTGCTCAGGGCGGGGAGGGGTACGAAGGACGACGACGACGACATCGGCCTGTGATCGCGAGGCCCTGTGCGACCTTAAGGACTGATACTGTAAACGTCATCCTGGAGCTGAGCGATCCTGTCTGGGGAGCCAGACACGACCTGAGCCTCAGGGCCTGCGTGTGGGAACCGCAGTGCAGGGCTAGGGGCGAGGCCCCGGAGGCGAGGGCGCGCTGGCATCAGGCGTGAGGCCCGGCGACGGGCACGTGCGCAGACGCCGCAGCAAACAGACACCGCAGCGGGCGAGGCGGGGCAGCCAGAGCCAAGGCCGGAAAGGGTTGGCCAGAGCATTTGGGTGTGACCACCAGAGTAAGTGACTTCAACTGCACCTTCCGAGAGGAGTGGCCAGGGCTGTGAGCTCCTTCGTTCCTGGATGTCATGGGAGTGCGTGCTGGACACTGTGCACGCGGGTGAGGCAGGTAAAGGACTAGCAAGACACACACCTAGTGTGGGAGGAGCTTATGCCTCCTTGAGGAGACAGACCAATAGAGAACTGGTCTTGAGGCTAAGGAGAAAGCCCCTACCACAGACAAGCCGCGGCTTTTGGAAGTATCACAAAGCCAGCGCAAATGGCTTCTCATGGTTTTCATACCAAACTGGTCTCTAGGCTGGGTGTGGTGGCTCACGCCTGCCATTCCTGCACTTTGGGAGGCAGAGGCAAGAGGACTGCCTGAGCCCAGGAGTTCGAGACCCGCCTGGGCAACTTGGCGAGATCTCGTCTACGACAAATCAAAAAATTAGTTGGGTGTGGTGGCGCGCACAAGCGGTTCCAGCTCCTCGGGAGGCTGAGATGGAAGGACTGCCTGAGTCCCACAGGTCAAGGCTGCAGTAGAAACTCCAACTTAAATACATACATACATAAAAACGGACTCTCAGCCGGGCTCGGTGGCTCAGACTGTAATCCCGCGCCTTTGGGAGGCTGAGGTGAGTGAATTGCCTGAGCCCACGGGTTCGAGACCCACCTGGGCAGCGAGACCTCATCTCTACAATAAATAAAAAATCAGCCGGGCGTGGTGGCACATGCCTGTAATTCCGGCTACTCGGAAGGCTGAGGCGGAAGGGTCGCCCGAGCCCAGCAGGCCGAGGCTGCGGTGGCCGGGAGCAGCCACTGCACTCCCGTCTGGGCTACAGAGTGAGACTCCAACTCAAAAAAAAAAAACAAAAACGGACTCTCAGCTGGGATGTGAAGGATTAACAGGAATTCGTGAAAAGGGTAGTCTGGGAAGAGGAAAAAATGTGAGCGAAAGTCGGGAGACCTGGGAGTCGGGGAGCTAACTGGAGACGGGGCCCAGGAACAAAGGCCCCGAATGCCACTCACAGAAGTCCTTTCTGTCAGGAGATGGGCTACTTGACCAGACCTACAAGTCTGAAGAATGAAGCAGAATTGTAGGTGGTGGTGCCAACTCAACTGCAGGGCAGAACAAGGGTGGTGCAAGTCTAAGGAAGAGAGGAACACAGTCACTGAATACACAGAGAAAGGTTTCACGGGGAAGCACCCATACTTCCTTGGGAATTGGAAAAGGCCAGAGTCCAGGAATTGTGGCCTGGCCAGTGCCGTTTGTTTCTCTTCTTTAGAATGGAAAGCTAGCACTCACCGCCAGTCCCTTGGTGGGGCTGTCCTGGAGGGGAGGAGGCAGAGAGGAGGGCATGATTTCGGCTCTGCTCACAACCCTCCACACATGGCTCTCAGTGACTGTGTGGCCAACGCCCCGCGTAAACTCAAGAGTACAGAAAACTAAGCTGGGGGCAAGGAGTCTAGACACAAGTGTGTGAGAGGCATTTTTAAATCTCAAGTCTCAGGCTACATGTCCCATTCCTACTGGAAAGTCAGATCTAGTTTATAAAAAACCCAGTTTACCCCAGCTTCCCCTGACCACAGTAAGCATGAGGGGCACCTCCCCGGCCTCAGGCCCTTCTCACATCAGAATGCAGAGGCCAACGCCCACCCCTCCAACTCCCCCATCTTGCAAAAGGGGAAACAGAGTGGGGCAGGGGCTGCTCCAGACTCAGGAAGACAGGGCATCGACACTGTCACAGGTCTGTGCTCAATCCTAACTCTGCCAGACCGAATCCAGTCGAGTCACTCTCCAGTCCTGGCTTTAGTTTCCTCATCTGTAATGTGGGGTAATGGGACCACTCAGGATTGCTACAAGGGTAAGCAGAAGCAATGCTGAGCTCCTGATGTCCTGATGCTGATGGGGGAGTGACCAGGCAGATGCCTGGCCGGTCCTCCCCTCACTGCCACCCAGAGCAGCAAATCACCAGCACGCCACTCTGTGTCCAAATGTTGCTTTATCTTTCGCATGAAAGATCTTCACAGTATCAAAAGTAAAGAATTGGAAAACGAAAACAAAAACAAACAAAACAAAACCAAAAAACCAAACACAAAGAGCAGTGTTGGGCCAGCAGTACCATCAGCCTCGGCCCACGGGCCAGCCCTGTCTGCGGGCTCTGAGTGTGGAGGCTGCGTAGCACCAGGAAGCGGCTCTGCTGAGGTCAGGGGCCCAGCACGGTGCAGCATCCGTTCAGCTTTTGGTTGGTCCGGGACGGCAGGGAGTAGGGAGGGTCCTGGGCAGGTGGGCACACGGAAGGAGGAGCTGTGGGCCTTCAGCTGGCAGTCGGGGCCTCAGCCCTGAAGAAACTCAACCGGGGCAGAACCTGGGGAAGAACAAGCAAGGAGGCTCACAGGGAGCAACGACCTGTGCCCCAGCCTCCCCTGCCAGTCTGGGTCCCCATGGAAGCAGGAATAACTGGCTGCTCTTTTAGCTCCCTGGGAGGAAAACAACAAACAGACTCCCTGGAGCACCTCTGGCAGAGGATGAAGGCTGAGACCCTGGGGCACAAAGCCCCAGTTCTCCAGCACATGGGACAGTGCTCGAGGAGGTCCCAGCCTCTGACACTTGCTATCCACCGGCAGGTGCATAGCCTGGAAGCAGGTGGGGTGGCCAACGGGGAGCACTCATGGGGCTGGGGATCCATCTGAGAAGGGAGATGAGCCAAAGGGCAGGACTGGAGGAGTGGGAGAACGCAGCTGCGTCCGGTTTCCCAGGTGACCATGGCACTGGGCTGTGGAAAGCAACTGGGCCCCTTTCACTCAGCAGAGACAACAGATAAAGTGCCTGAGGTCCCTGCCACTCCCGGTTCCTGTGGAGGCAGAGAAGAGCAGCAGGAGGGCGGCCCTGGACGATGCTCCGGGCCGAGGTGCCCCTCAGAGCAGAGGGTGCAGGCGAGTATGAAGCAGACAGTCCTGACTGTGGGCCAGCACCAAGGAGCCAGCCACACGGAGCCTGGCCCTGAAGGCTGCCCTGGCAACAGCTGCCTCAGGCCCGAGAGGGGCTGCTACGGCACTAGAAAGAGGAGGAAGACAAGTGATGACACCATGGGCGGGGAGGGTAGTTCATGAGCTCAGCCCACCTGCCCCAGCCTTCCATGCCTCGAGGGCAGCGGGTGTGCTGCCAGCCAGAAAAGGTCTGGCCCCAGGGACTGGCTCAGTTGCAGATGGGAAACCGCACAGTCCCTCGGCCCAGGCCAGCACCAGGCCTCCTGCGAGCTGCCCTTCTCTTCCACACTAGTGCTGCTGGCCATGCCTTCCCCCACCTTCTTTTCCAGTCCAGATTGCTGTCCCACACCCTGTCATTCAGACCAAAAGGGCTGTGCAGGTGACTGGGGGGGTGGCTGTCTGGCAGCCAGAAGGCAGCTTGGCTACCAGTTTCTTCGTGGAACTCATCTGCTTGGGAGAGCCTCACTAACTCTTCATGCCCAGATGGCCTCCAAGGCCTCACGGGCCGGCCCCTCCTCACACTGCTTCAGCTGGGAAGCCAGGTCAGGCCCGGCAAGTGGGATTCAACCCCGAGGCCTGATAAAGGCAGTGGAGGGGCAGCCATGGGGCCAACAGCTGCCTGAGTACTCTGGAAGGCAGCTGGCGAGAGAGGTAGAGCCCTGATGCTGATGCCGCTGGGGAGAGCATTCCAGGAAGGGGGCACTTTGGGAACATGGGCAGGAGAGCCTGGCCCAGGGAGCAGCGATGAGAGGAAAGAGCCAGGGCTTAAGTGGCTATGGAACACGGGCCCTGGACCTCAGGAAACTGCAGCCAGCTATGCGTCACTCCGAGGTGCAGGCGCCAGGGCTGCCATGCCCAAGCCCAACTCCCAGTCCCCAGAGCACAGAATGGTCTGGTGGGGGGTACAGGTGGCTGAGCACAGGGTGAGGGTGCAGGCGACACCTGGGGTCTCCATACCTCACTGAGCTGTGCTGGGCGTGGTTTTCTTGAGGCTGAAGTTGGTCCAGTTCACAGCAACCTTCTGGCGAGTTTGCTTTGCAGAATCCAAGCAGAACCTGTTGGGGTTGAAGGCACAGGAGGATGCATCAGAGCTTGTCCCTGGAGCCCTCTCCTAGATACCGTGTTCCCATCTCTAAGGAGGCAGGCTGCTTTTCTGGCTCCCAGGTGTTGGGCTTTAGCAGGTACGAGAGAGCTTTGCTCGCTGGAAGGCTTCTGGATGGGGCCCTAAAACCAATGCCCACAAGCCCAGGGGGGCAACACAGGAAGACAGCGAGACCACTTGGGATGCAAGTTCCCTCCCTCATATCAGGTTTCACTCTCTAGCTGTGCCAGGCTGGTTTCCATCCCCTAAGAACAGTCATCCTTCAGTACCCGAAGGGCATAGTTCTAGGACCCCCACAGATCCTAAATTCCTCAGACGCTCAAGTGCCTCATAAAAAATGAGGTAAAAGCTGGGTATGTGGCTCACACCTGCAATTCCAACAATTTGGGAGGCTGAGGCGAGAAGATTGTCAGAGTCCAGGGGTTCATGACCAGACAGGGCAATGTGGCGAGACCTTGTCTCTACAGTAAATCAAAAAATTAGCCAGGCATGGTGGCATATGCCTGTAGTTCCAGCTACTTGGAAGGCTGAGGTGGAAGGATCACCTGAGCCCAACAGATCGAGGCTGCGGTGGCCATGGGCATGTTCCTGCATTCAGCCTGGGCAACAGAGTGAGACTCAACTCAACTCAACAAAAACAACAAAAAAAAGGGGGCAGTATTTGTATATAATCTGTGCACATCTTCCCAAATAGTTAAATCCTATCTAGATTATTTGTAGCAACAAATACAATGTAGATGCCAAATAGTTATACTGTGGGGGTTTTTTGTTTTTTGTTTTGAGTTGGGGTCTTACCATATTGTCCAGGATGCAGTGCAATGGCACAATCATAGCTTACCGCAGTCTTGACCTCCTGGACTCAGGCAACCCTTCCACCTCAGCCTCCCAGGTAGCTGGGACTATAGGTGTGTACCATCATGCCTGGTGAATTTTTTTATTTTCAGTGCAGACGAGGTCTCACCCAGGCTGGTCTCAAGCGAACCTCCTATCTTGACCTCTCAAAGTGCTAGATTATAGACATGAGCCACTGTGCCTGCCTCATTTTTTGTCGAAGTCTCACCCTGTCACCCAGGCTGGAGTGCAGTGGTATGCTCCTGGCCACCACAGCCTCCACCTGCTGGGCTCAGGCAATTCTTCCACCCCAGCCTTCCAAGTAGCTGGAACTACAGGTGTGCACCACCTCTATCTATCTATCTATCTATCTATCTATCTATCTATCTATCTATTTATTGAGTTGGAGTCTCAATCTGTCACCCAGACCGGAGTGCAGTGGCCACTCCCGGCCACTGCAGCCTCGACCTGCTGGGCTTCGGCAATCCTTCCGTCTCAGCCTTCCAAGTAGCCAGAACTACAGGTGCATACTACCACACCCGCCTAATTTTTGATTTATTGTAGAGACGAGGTCTTGCCAAGTTGCCCGGGCTGGTCTTGAACCCGCGGGCTCAGGCAATCAATCCACTCGCCTTGGCGTCCCAAAGTGCTGGGATTACAGGCTGAGCCACCAAGCCCGGCCTATTTTTGTTATTTTCTATTGGTTTTTTTTTCCTGAACATTTTTTGATCCATGGCTGCTTGACCCTGTGGATACAGAACCTGCATATACAGAGGACCAGCCATGTGCTGGTTCTTTCAACCTTCAACCTTTGTGCACTGGCCCCGCTGTCACAAATGTCTTTTCATCTGACCTAGCCAGCTCATTCTTATTGTTCAGGTTTCAGCTCCGTTATCACCTCGCCTGGGAGGGCCCTCCGGCCTGCCCCACCCCTCAGTTGGGTGTAGAGTTCCCCTCCTAGCCACCCCCACATCTCAGTGACATCATCACGAGGCTGCATGCTCAGGGCCCTCTAGCCTGCCTGGTTCACCTCAGTCTCCAGAGCTCAGTCAGACAGAGCAGAAAGAGCAAGTAATAAACAGCGGCCAAAGCTGGAGAAAGCCCTGGTCTCCAGCCTCACGTGCCTCCTCCTCTCAGCCCCTCTACCTTCCTAGCTGTGCCATCCTGCCCAGCAGTTGCCTGGGCTCCAGCAGAAAGGCTGGTAGGAGAGGCTCCCTACGCGGCCAGGGCTGAGGGAGAAGACGTTCTGAAACCTGACGCACACCGCGGGGCTCAAGTGTGGGCGGGCCCTGGAATCCCCGTAAGTGGGGCCAGGCAGCCCACACCTACCTCTTAAAGTACTCCACCTCTCGGTCAGTCTCATCCATCTCCACCCCGTCCATGTCCTTGGGCAGGAACACATCGTCTAGGAAGACACAGCCAGGAGGGCTCAGTGCCCACGGCCAGGCCTCTGGGATCATGCTCTGGGGGCAGCGCTGCCCACGCAAGGACTGCCCTCCACCCCACGGCCTGGCTGGGGTGGGGGTCAGCCGCTCGGTTCCTGGTGCACTCACCCAAGGAGGAGGCCGGCTTCTCCTGCTTGTTGCGGCTCCGGCGGCTGCGGCCCTTGCCCTGGGGCAGGCTCTGTGGCCTTGCTGGGCCTGGGGGCTGCACAGACTCCGGGTCCGGGGGCTGTGCCTTGGCCTCACCGGGCCAGCTTCGCCAGGAGCTGCCCTTCTCCTTCTCAGTTTTGGGGCTGCCAGCCCAACCTGGACCTGGCTGGTTCCCCCAGCTCCCCTCTCCAGCCTCAGCACAGCTGCCCACTTTGGGAGGCTCTGGGACCTTGCCTGGCTGCTTGGGGCCAAGGGTCTGGCTCTTGGCACTAGGAGCCTCTAGGCTGGCCAGGGGCCGGGGAGCTGGGCTCACCTCGCGCTTCTTGGCCTGACTGCCCTGTCTCTTGCCTTTCCGCGGCTTTGCACTGGAGGCCCCTGGCTCAGGCAGCTCCGGCTTGCAACTGGGCACCTCCTTTGAGCTTGGCTCCTCGGAGCTGGGGTTGCCCGGCTTAGGTGTCTTGACCCAGATCACCCGGGACAGGTTGGGCACGGTGTTGAGTCTTCTCACGAGCCCGTTCTCGGGGATGATCCCAGGAGGAGGGCCCCTCACCTCTGTCCACGGTGGACGGGAGCCTCTCGCTTCTGCCCATGGTGCGGCTGGCTCGCCTGGCGCTTGTAATGTGTGGTTCTGGGGGGAACCCAAAGTCAAAGGGGACAGGTCAAGATTGATGTCAGGCCGCTGCTCTGAGGCGCTGCTGAGGTTTGAGGGGGGCAGACTCTGGAGCTCTGGTTCCACAGCCCCCTCTTTAGAGAAGCCATTGCTGTCCATGCTGAGCTCACACACACTGAAGCTGGCACGGATGGAGTCCTTGACAGTGTTCTTGATCTCCTGGAGACGGCTGCTCAGAAAGCTGTTGACCCGATCCAGTTCCCGGTCAGGCCACTCCAAGAGCCCCTCCCTGGCAGGCCTTGGTTCGCGGCTGCCTGAGACACGATGCACCTGCTTCAGAGCTTCTGCTGCCAACTGGGCCTTCTCCTTTTCCTGCCAAGACAAGAGGTCGTTTCAGCAGGGGCCTGTCAGCGGCCAGGCACAATGTGACACCAACACCAGACACAGTTTCAGCCCGGGGCGGCTTTGCCACTCACTTGCCGGAGGCTAAATCCTGGCCTGTTTACCCACCCTGCCAGAGTGAGGAGGAAGTGCAATCAGCAGGGACATGTCCTGGGGCTGGAGGGACAGCCACACCCACAGAGTAGGGTTTTTACAGCTCGCTCGTTCAGAGCCCCAGTCAGTCTCAGAGGGACCATCTGCAGAATGGGGGCAGCGACACTAGAGAAGACTGAAGTGGGGATGCCCGCGAGGAAGACCAAAGCTAGTGTTCTTGCCAATCCTCAGGCGGCAGGGAACAGGCACAATGTGATGGGGCTCCACAAGAAGGCAGGTGCGGGGCTGTGACACTGCTACGGGGACGGGCCTGCTCTGGGTGGTGGAATGCGTGTGCCCCCCTGAAGGTGCATCTGGGCACTGAAGAGGGTGACGTTCCTGTGGAAAGGCCATTCACTGTGCACTTGGCTCAAGTAATGAAGGCCACACCTAACGTGTGCCCAGTGACATAAAGTAGACAGCCACACAGGGCCCTCACAGCAAGATAAAAAGCTGCCCCTTTTCCTGGGAAGCCCGGGAGGTTCAGGGAGGTCAGGCCTCACCATCAGCTTTGACAGACCTGGATCTCGAGAACTGAAATGGGTCTGTGGGCTCCAAGTCACCCCATCTCTCCGCCCAACTTCAGAAACCAGCAGGCCAATAAGACCTTTAGGGGAGATGAGAGATGGTGCCCAAGCCCTGGGGAAGGGGACACGCCAGGTGCGAGGTGACCCCCACCACTTCACGTCATTCCCGTTGATTTGGGAACGGAGGAGGAAAAACAGGAACACAAAACTGTTCAGAGAAAGAGGGCTTGCCACCAGCTCAGAGTCCACTTCAGAGGGCACCCCGGGGCCACACGCGCAGGCACGCATCCCCATCTTCTATGAACACTGGCTCCACAACGGATGAGGGCCAGTTGTTCCTGGGGGACCTTGGACAAGTCACTCTCTCGGAACCTTACCCTCCCAGTTGGCAAATTAGGACATCACAGGGAGACTGTGAGGATGGCTGGGGGCTATAGAGTGTGGCGGTGTCCCTGCGTGCTAAGGCTGGGCCTGCTCCTGCAGAGCTCAGAGGAGCAGCATTTCCAGCAGTGGGTGCAGCTCAGTACTGCAGGGACGGACAAGGACCAGGGCCCTTCCCCTCACTCTCCCCAGCACCACACAGCTTTGCTTTTGTTACACGTTGGGGTCTCAAAGAAGAGTCCAGAAAAAGTCTGGAAACTACTGGCATGGAGGGACTTTGGAAGCAAGAGAAGGAGAAAGCACAGAAACACATTTTCTGCTCTGTCCCACGAGCCTGACCCCACCTTCGGTGTCTCACTTGATGCTCACAGCTGTCCTTGTGGCATCATACCCCTCGATTTACAGTTGAGGAATCTCAGCTCTTGACAGAATGCAGAACTGGCTCAAAGTTACCTAGTAAAGGGCAGAGTTAGGACAGCCCGTCCAAGCCTGATTTCAGAAGCTCTCAGGGTTCCCAATTCTGCCTGGCAGTCATTTGTGACCATCACCTGTGAGCCAGTGGGCCAGGCCCTGGGGGTTCAGCATGCCGGGACAGTCTCTGCCTCACCAACCTTAGTCTGCTGGGACAGACATGCAAACAGCCTGCTTAATTCAGAGTGACAGTGACAAGTGCCACGGGGAAGAAGCACAGGGCTAAAGGTGGGGACCTAAAGGTGGTGTTCCTAACTCAGATGGGCACTGGGGGCTTTGTAGAAGAGGCAGTGTCTACACGGATTACCCTGGAGAAAGTGAGACAAGAGCTTTCTGGACAGAGGGAAGAGCGAGTGTAAAGACTGGGAAGCAGGAAAACAGAGTCTCCAGACTGCCAGGCACTCAGGGTCCAGCTGGAACCCTGGTTGTTTTGGAGGGGTGAGTCTGGGTGGACCATGTAGACAGGAAGGCCAGAGAGGAGAGGCTGAGCAACAAAGGTGGCAGGCTGCGCAGGGCTACATCACAGGAGCCCTGCAGGCCTGGGATTGAGCTTGAGGGCAACAACATCCAGCTGCTGGAGGTTTCTAGAGTGCTGGCAGCAGTGGGGTGAGAAGCAGGCTGGCCTGAACTCCAGGGGAGGTAGCTGCAGAGGACTTTTGGAGATGGGTAGGGAGACAGGACAATACGAGTTGGGAAAACGGCATCGACGGTCACAGCAGCTCCCACGGTGAGCACGCCCGCGCCAGGTTCTCTGCCAGCCTTCCCTGCTTCACTCCGTTCCTTCCTCCCAACAACCCACAACTTAGGTGCTGCTACTCTCATTTTATGGATGAAGACACTGAGGCTTAGAGGTTAGTGATTTGCCCAAGGTCATACAGCAAGCATCACAGAGCTGAGCTTCCCACGGAGGTCCAATCCCCAAGCCCGCAGCTCTCGGGCACTATGAGGCGACGATGTCCAGAGCTCTGGCTCAGGCAGTGGGGTGGACGGTGGTGCCATGAGCAAGACAGACAAAGAAGGAAGAGCAGACCTCTCTGAGAAAGACAGCAAGCTCAGTCTGGGAAGTGCTGGGTGTCAGGTGCCGGTGGCGGGAGATGTCACTGAAGTGCCGGGAGGAAACACTGTCTCGACGTTTCCGGACAGCTCTCTTTCCCAGAGGGAGGGTGAGGTAGAGGAAGAGGAGCTCACATAGGAGACCACAAAATGTCAGAGAGACAGCTGAGATTCTGGGGACCCCACCCTGCCTACCGCCAGCCTTTCCCTGGCCCTGCTTGGCTGAGCATGGAGTAGCCAAATGCAATATTTGGAAAGAACAAACACCACATGTCAAATGTTGTTAGCAGACAAGTAAGATGGCAACATAAGAGTAAAATTCGGACTTGGCAGCCAAGATGTCACTAACTCTGGAGGGCTGTGGGCAGAAAACGTCTACAGTGAGCAGAGGGCCCGTGAAGACAACACAGACGTCTTTTGTCAAGAAATGTGGTGTGGGACCAGGCACAGTGGCTCATACCTATAATCTCAGAACTTTGGGAGACGGAGGCAAGAGTATCCCCTAAGCCAAGGGGTTCGAGACGAGCCTGAGCACTTGGTGAGACTCATCTCGACTGTAAGTCGAAAACTTAGCCAGGCATGGTGCCATGTCTGTAGTCCCAGCTGCTTAGAAGGCTGAAACGGAAGGATCACCTGATCCCAGCAGGTCAAGGCTGCAGCAGCTGAGATAATGCCACGGTACTCCAGCCTGGACAACAGAGTGAGACTCAGATTAAAAATAAAGAAAAAAATAGAGAAAGAAACAGAGAGGGAGGGGGAGGGGGGAGGAGGGGAAGAGGAAAAGAGAAATGTGGCCATGACAAGAAGAAAGACTGGGAGGGAGGAGAGAGGTTACAGGTTCAAGAAAACTTTGCTTTAAAAAAAGGAGAGAGAGAGCCGGGCTCGGTGGCTCAGC